GTACCACGTAGACTGGCTCCTTAATCTGTGGGTGTCGGTATGTTGCGGAAGTGACTATTTTGGAATATCTCGGTTGCAAAAGCACATGACTGTTCAAGAAGGGGAAAATGACTTAAAAGCCCAACGAAGTTTCCAAACCGTTTAAAAAAACCCAATCATGTTTTGTCTGTTCAAAAAAACCCAACAAACTTAACATTTTATCTAAAAAGCCCAACTAAGTTACACTTTCTCGAAAGTCAAATAAGAAAAACAGATGACGTGGCTTATTACCGTATCGGAAAAATGACTTGTTAGACCAACGAAGTTTCCAAAACGTTTAAAAAACTCCAATCATGTTTTGACTGTTCAAAAAAAATCCAACAACTTAAGCAAAACAAAATTGGAATTTTCTGAACGGTTTGAAACTTTGTTGGACTTTTTAGACAAAAGGTTAAGTTCGTTGGGTTTTTTTGAACAGACAAAACATGATTGAGGTTTTTTGAATGGTTTGGAAACTTCGTTGTGCTTTTAAGTCATTTTCCCTTCAAGAAGTGATGTGGATCCAAAAATAACCACACCAGTCATCGAAGACATACTGTGTGGAAGACGACTTATTCGTGTTAACGATATATCTAAACCTTCTAAAAGTCCTAGATTTCCAAAATCCTTAGGCAATTTCTCAAGTTTACTACAAAAGCCAAGAAAGAGAAATCTCAAACATTTCAAGTTACATATGCTGTTTGGAATATCTCCTAAAGATACACACTTGGTCAGGTTCAGCACCTCTAAACATTCTAATTGCCCAATATCCTCGGGTAACTTCTCAAGGAGCACACAAGATTCAAGTATTAGAGATTTCAGATGAATCAGCATGCAAATGCTATCTGGAAGACATCGAATACTTGCAGACAACAAACTCAACTCCTCTAAATTTTTTAACCAACCAAGATTCTCCGGTAACTCTTCAAGATACCAACAATCTTTAAGTGTGAGAGATTTTAGGTGTTTCAACATACAAACACTATCAGGAAGAAATTTGATGTGTGTAGACACCAAATTGAGCTGTTCTAAGCATTTCAACAGGTCAAGGTCATTAGGCAACTCTGGAATAAAGCCATAGAATCTAAGGCGTCTTAGATGTTGTAAACCACAAATGCTTCCTGAAACACTCTCAAGTTTTGTGCAAGGTTGGAGATCTAGAACGACAGCCTTAGAATCAATTCCGGTTGACAAGGTTTGTTCTTTACAATAGTGGAATGCAAACCGCAGCATTGGTAGATTGTTTGTGGTGTCCCTTGGGAATTCCTCCAAGCACTTCGCAGCCACAGATAACTCAGGTATACTTAGAAGCACAAGTGATTCCAACTTTTTAAGCAAAGAAAAAGATACAGACCATGAGCAACCAATTAAATTTACGAGAGCAAGCCTATCTAGACATCCAATGGGCGCATGAATCTCTGTCAAATCATGACATCCAATAAGAATTAACCTCTCAAGATTCGGAGTCATCTCAAGGTCAAGGGTCCTCAACTTGGAATCTCTCAGGTCGAGGAATCTGAGCTTCTTAAGAACCTATATATCACATGCAAAAAGAAAACTAATTACACAGAGTATTCATGTATAAGCTAACACATACAGCAAAAGGGTTACAATTAATCAATCAATATACCTTTCTTTCTCCGCTTTCCCAAAGTTGCACGATTTTGCTTCCAACCAGTTCAAGTCCAACAAGATGATTTGCTCGAAATGTTGGGGGTAAAGACAAACCAGGGTAAACATTCCAATACAAAAACTGTAACGAATTCGGTAAGTACTGTTTTGTTTTATCAAACTTCCAGTCCCTAGGGAAACAGTCATCATGCTTCCCACCAAGACAAAGATATCTAAGTTTCTTCATGTTTCCAAGGCTTTTGATGATAATTTCAGGACTCAGTTCCTTCCACACCAGCTCCAGTCCTATACATGTTGATGCTTCAGTACCCTATAATCCAAAACCAATCACCATATATAAAACTTGTGTTATAGGTAATGAAAATTTATTATAAGTTTTAGTAAATTTGATGCTAATTACCGAATCATCGGTGAATAGTTTTTCAATTTCCTCGCGAATCCAGAGTCGGCTGTGTTTGTTGGGGTCATCGGGGTGTGATCGCCGAACAATATTCTGTCCCAATTCTACTAGTCTATCATGCATACCCAATCTACTCGAGTCATCATTTAAAATTGTTATGAGACATTTTTGCTCAAGAATTCTTAAACCATATGCGGCACTAAATCCACAGCTATCAAGGACTCTAACTACATACTCTTTAGGAAACCCCCTCAAGAAGCATGCAACATCTAAGAACATTTCCTTGTGATCATCCTCTAGGCTGTTATAGCTTATTTCCAACACCTCTATAATTTTCCGAGATGGAATTGTTTCTAGTCTTTTTAGTGCACCTCTCCACACTAGCTCATTTTCACCACGCAGATGTGAACCCAAAACTTTAATCGTTAAGGGAAGACCAGCAGCATAACGTACTACTTCTGATGAAAGCTTTTCATACCCTTCATCTGGAATGTATCTCTTAAATGCATACCTACTAAACAGGCTCATTGCTTCCTCATCCGACAAGAAGCCGACATCATGAATCCATTTTGTATCTACTCCGTGTGCTAGCAGCACTTTCTCGTCTCTTGTTGTTATGATTATTCTACTTCCATCCTTAAACCAATCACCAGCTAACGCCTCAAGCTGCTCTTCGTCATCCACATCGTCTAGAACAAGAAGGACTTTTTTATAGGGTAGCCTCATTCTCATGAGTTCTTTCCCATCATGAACACTCCCCACACGCATGTTTTCATCTTTTAGAACGCCTGAAAGGATTCGTTCTTGCAATGACCGCAAACCTTCCTTTTTTGAAATTTCCCTTACGTCATCAGCAAAGAAACTACCTTCAAAATGGGAAGCTAAGTTATCAAAAATAGCTCTGGCCAAAGTTGTCTTCCCAATGCCTCCCATCCCCTTGATCCCTATCATGCGCGCTTTATCGTTCAAACCGATCCCCAAAGACGACTCAAGATCTTGCATGCGGTGGTCCATGCCTATTACATTTTCATCATTGCTCAAATGAATGGATCGTAACTTGAGTGAAATTTCTTTAACAATTTTTTTTATGGCTTCAGCTTCATGCCTGTAGATGAAACAAGATTCAAGTAGCTTTGATCAAGAATATCCCACATGATAAATTAGTTTCAGCACTATACCATACAACCATATTTCATGCTTCATATATGCTTCTACAATGTTGGAAAATAAGAAGATCAATCTATGCTACTGGGTTTTAAGGCTCAATTGAGAAGAAGAAAAGTGATTTTTTGCTGCTGCAAAAGAAGTAAATATTCCTCTTAAATTTGAAGGAAACGGTTTCAATGAATTGCATTTCAAAGCAAAGAAAACAAGTAATACTTATATGCCTATTACTTCTAAAATTTAAAATAATACTAAAAATACTAACTATAAAACTAAGACATACTTCATAAATCAAGGAAGAAATGGGTGAAAAGTCAGATATGGTGGAGTGAAGGGAGAACTATTTATATATAATTTGTTGCTGACTTTAAGGAGGTTCTATCATCACATAGAAGACTCAACTTTGAGTTGAAATTTTACAACCTAACATCAAGGCCATGGATGACACTTCTACATCCACAGCTAGACTTGATTAGAAATACAAAAATGAAAGAATACTTTTGCAGAGATACGATAAAGAAATTTTTACCCATCAGCAATGTTTTTTAGATTCCACCCAACCAGATTCCCTGCACTTTCCAGAGCCTTTTCCCATTTCGTAATCTGTTCGTTAGTCTTATGTTTGGCAATGGCTTCTTCAACTGGCCCACTTCGTTTGCGGATGTCGCTGGGCTCCACATCATAAAAGAGCGGGTAAGCAATCTGCTCATTTTCATCTTGACACTCCATAATCTTCGCAAGTTCCTTCAGGCACCAAGAAGAAGATGCATAGTTTTGGGAGAAAACAATTATAAAGAACCTTGACTCTTCAATGGCTTTGAAGAGCTCATCGATCCTTTTTCCTTTCTCCAGTTCCTCGTTATCCCTGAAGGTGTGAATACCTAGTTGCTTAAGAGAAACGTAAAGATGATCAACAAAGGTCTTACGCGTGTCTTCTCCTCTAAAGCTCAAGAACACATGATACTTAAAGCTCTTTTGATTGGATGAAGTTGAAGAAGACGCCATTAAGGGTTTTCTTGATGGATCTTCTATAAATCAAATCGTTCTTGAGAGATTTTCTTAAGAAATAATTGCAAAGAAATTAGTGATGTTTGATACTACACAACCCAATGATCGGTAACAGCCAGTAATATCAACAAAGTGACGACATACATTAATTTTGTGGGTCGCGTCAACGAAGAAATTTCAAATGCCCCGCTAAATTATTATTAAAAAAATGTCAACTGGTTAACCAAACTTTTTGTATTATTGCGATTGCTTCATGGCAAGTTGCAGTTGTTGAATGGAAAAGTCAACAAAACTTTTGCTCGAGTAAATTACACGGTTCGTGCTCGTGGGTTAAAAGATATAACGGTTTTAGTCCTTAAGATTAATTTTTGGAAAGTTATCTTCCCTATTTTATAGTTTCATTTCACTTTTGGTCCCTTGACCGAACCAGTTACGCAATTGTATTGTAACCTTTAAACACCCTAACGTGCCTTTTTGATCAATTCACCTATCCATTATAAAACTCCCATAAATCAAACAAATACAGAGATGACAGATCTTCCACCACGTAAATGCTCAAGTGGAAGATCGCTTATGCCTTTATTGTTGTACACATTTAAGTCTCTTACACATTTTAATCATACAAGTCGATAAAATAATTCTTTTAACTTAAACACAAAAAGGCAGATGAAAACATGTAAGTATATCAGCATTGGCACACCGGTGAACCTTGAGAATTCCTATAGGGAGTTGCTATCATGTGTACCTTGTTAGATCATCAACAAACATGAATGTTGAATTAAAGTGTCTAAGGTCCTAACTAAATTGGTATAATGTTGATGAATCATAACCAGGAAATGGCTTGGATCGATCATATGAAAGAGAAAAATGATTTATTAATATATTATATGATTAATATTTTAATTAGAATAATAATAATAATTAATTAAGAATTAATTAAGCGTTAATTAGCATTATTTAAGAATTAATTAAGCGTTAATTAGCATCAATTAGAGGTATAAGAGCCGAGCTGCAATTGTTCAATAGTTGAACAATAGAGAATATCTAGAATCCTTATAGGCTTGGATAGTTTTTGAGGCTCTTCATAGAGCTTCTGGAAGCCTCCAAAATAAAAAGAAACTAGATAATTAGTGATTTGAAATATTATTATTTTAAGTTTAAATCTGGAGGTTTAGGGATTAACAAGCAATTATATAAAAGGATCAAACCCTTGGAATTTTCGACCTCACCTTTTCCTTAAAAGAATTCTGAAAGTTCTACCTCTCTCATATTTCCTTTAATCCTAGAGTTTCTTAAGTTTTGAGTGTGACACATAAGAGGTTCGCATACTTTTGGAGCTACTTTTCAAGGAGACTATAAGGCTTTTGGTTAGCTTATTTCGAATCAAACAAAGGTATGTAACTCCATCTATGAATTCAATTTCATAGGGTTATAATTTTGATTTCATAAGTATGTTGCTATTAGAAGGAAAAAGACATAAATCTATTTAGGTTGGTTGTACCTTTAAGAGTTAAGTGAAATTTTGCATGTATAAGTAAATTGTAATCTAAAAACCACAATAGCAAGAACAGAGTTACCTGTTACAGCCCTATAAGAAATATACACCTAAATAAAAAAATTTATCGATCCGGAAGCTATTTTCATGGAGTAATTTTCTAATTTATCGACTTACACATAGAAGCATAGCATATTTGACCCATAAGTAGTTGAATCTTACGCCCTTCTTATAGGCTCATCCCAGAGGTGAGCGATAGAGACGACCGTCCAGGGCCAATCTTTTAAAGGGGTCTAAAATTTTTATGGACTTTATTATTATTATTATTATTATTATTATTATTATTATTATATATATATATATATATATATATATATATATATATATATATATATATAATAGAAATGTTATATTTAGAAGCTATTACAAAAAAAATTCTTTCAATTTTGTCATCTCGTAGTGAGCATTCAGGAACAAAATGAAGAGTACACTATATAGACATGAATGATACTTCAGATGATGATGATAATAATGTCAATCAAAAACATTTTCATCAAATAGAAACTCTAATCCGCATTATAAGCCTCCCCATGATGACAATTCACGTGATCATCTCGTATCACAATACATGGAAGCCATGCTATCACATGAAAAAGAGGAGACACATGAAAACTTTAGAGAAATGTTTTTGCCAGGTGTCATCATTCATATAATCCCTGATAAGAAAAAAAAACAAAGTACCTCTTTATAGAAGATGGAAGAGTACACTAACCACACAGTGTGGTTATGAAGCTTATGTGGCTAAAAAGGAAGCCTTCATGTATTTGATTGTATCACCTTCTATGTTCATTGATCATCTCTCATGGAGGTAAATCATCTTATTCTTATCTAACAACACTTATTTATTATTTATAATTTCAAATGAAAATAAGAAAAGGTAGATAATCTAATGGTAAAATTTTATTAATTGAATTTTAGATGTTCGTGTGCTTTGAAGAAATTACTTGAAAAGTGGAGTCTTCAACAAGAGTGTGATGGAGTGAATTTGAGACCATGATGGATTAAAACCTTATTTTATAGTTTGAATCTTTTAATTGCCATGTGTTGTAATTATTTGCACAGTCAGCTGTCGACTTCACTAACTACTAACACCTACCACACAAGGGTTAAATTTTTGGTTGTAGTTTTGTATAGCATAGAAGTAGTGGATAGTTTATAAAAGAATTAAGTTATATATGTATTTTATGAAATTCAATTATTAGTTGATGTAGTTTTGAACTTGTATTAAACAACCATTAGGAGAGTTACATTTCTATTAAAATTGAGTTTGTGTATAGGAATGAACTGAAGGAATAGCCAAGGCTAGGCTATGTTTGATGATGAGGATTAGGAGGATGTAAATGTCTTTTATGATAAACTCATTACTCTAAGAAGAGAGTTTTTTCATACAACACTTTCTCCAAGTAGACTTTTGAGTTCTAAAACTTTATCCACTAAACTTAATTGTAGGGGTGGAAAATCGTGCTATCATTTTGTGTTTCTGTCGTCTGACACAACACAACCATGTTTTATGTAACACGAACACGACATGACATAATGTGTTTTTTTTTAACTAACACGAAAACGAACGAATTAAAAAATGACAAAGACAACACGACACGACAAATATAACATATACTAAAAACTAGTCTATTTAATGAATACTTTATCAAATATAACACAAAAAACACGAAAAACACGAAAAACACGATAAAGAACTGCTAAATCATGTCAATTTCGTGTCGAATTTTGAACATGAACACGCACACGACACAACATCGTGTTTTTATAGTTAACACGAACACGACACAAACATAAATTCAAATTTTAGTTTCGTCGCAATTTCGTTTCATATCGTGTATTTTTGTAATGTCGTGTCATAAATTGCCACCCCTACTTAAATGGAGGGGAAAAACATGCCCTCAGATTGGTTTGTCTAAGGATCATGTGTCCATAACGTCTATTTGAATTATATATGTACTTGGAAATGATTTTAATTGGCTCTACCACTGCTATGATATAAATAGAAACTATAAAGACTATCTTTATACATATCATACAGTTTATATACTTATTGGATAGCTAATAGTTAGAGGATACAAAGTGTAAATATGTAACTTATATATATATATATATATATATATATATATATATATATATATATATATATATATATATATTTGATGTAATCAGTTTATGAATACAATAATAATACACAACGTTTTACCAAGTTTAACTTGGTATCAGAGTCATATTATCGGCAACCCTAGCAGCAAATACCCTAATCATCGACACCTTCACAAGCCTATCGATCATCATCTTCTTCACTAAAAAATGGCCCTCATTGATGCCTTCACAACAGTTGAGAAAACCTCTTACAACTCTCACAAGTTTGGGTTTATGCTATCTCCAACAAACTATGGATTCTGGAAAACAATGATACACGAGTTTCTTGTCACCAACAATCTAATCGGCTATGTTGATGGTACTATTCCGTGCCTATCACAGATGATTGAACAATTAGCCTCCTCGGACAAGCATAAAGACAAACACAAAGAACCGAGGCCACCTCAATTGAACCCGAACTATACAATATGGGTATCCAATGATGCTTATGTCCGGATGTTGATTATTTCAACAATTTTAGAACCTGCTTTCCCTAATGTTAAAGGTACTACCACTTCTCGTGAGGTCTGGCTCTCTCTCAAACATGATTATCTCCACATACATCATCTAGAAAGTATGCTCTTAAAACTCAATTACTAAAACTTCAAATGAATGGAGATGAAACTGCTTCTGCCTATCTAAATATGGCAAAAAAATATGCTGATGCATTGGCTAATATCGGTGAATATTTCAAAGAGAAAGATCTCGTTATTTTAGTAATTATAGGACTTCAAGATGACTATAATGGGTTAAAATCAACCCTTCTTGCTCGACAGGTTCCCTCCGCCTTTACTGAATTACATGGTGTAACGCTCGTAGATCCGGGCTAGTCAATTTAGAGATAATAAGGGTCGAAAACGCCTTTTTGACAAACGATTATTTAGAATAAATAATCTTAACCAATATTTATAATATGTCTCAAGGGTTCCGTACATATAAAGAATGCCGAAATCCGAGTTATAACAAAGAAGTTATGGTCCGTCGAAGTTTTACGGCAAAACCAGCACAGCATCGGACGACGTAAATAGTGAATTTTTATAAAGGACTTTTTAGCCTTATCGATCCAAATAAAAGTTGTAGTATATGTTAAACCGAGAACATACAAAAAAAGAACGCCCAAATCTGACTTCGTATGAGGAAGTTATGAATTTTATAAGATTTCGCATAACAGTGCACGACCCGAAACTCGAATTTTAGTTTGAGCGGTTTTTGGCCTACACGGCCTAAATGAGAATTGAAGATCTCATTAATAGGAACTAAACGGTAAAAAGAAAGACGAAAACAGAGTCCGTATGTA